AATATGGCATATCCATATAATGGAATGGTATCTGTCAATTAAAAAAATAAAGGGCAGATATGTGCTGTAACATGGATGAATCATGAAAACACTACATTCAGTGAAAGAAGCCAGCAATAAAAGGCTACGTATTGTAAAAATCTATTACATGAACTGTCCTAGGCAAATGTACAGAGGCAGAAAGTAGAATTAGCAGTTGCCTAGGGTTGGGAATGGGTGGTGAAAATGCGGAGTGGCTGATAAAAATGGGCAAGATGTTTCTTTTCAGGGCGATGGAAATGTTCTAAAATTAGATTGTGATGATGGTTGCAGAACTCTATAAATATACTAAAATTCACTAAATTGTACAATTAAAACAAGTGTATTTTATGGTATGTAAATTATATTTCAAAAACTCTGTTTAATAAATACTGCTGCCTCCACCTTGTTCTTTTTCTCCAATTGCTTGTTCTGGGGAAGCCAGCTGTCATATCATAAGGACATTCAAATAGCAGTATGGAGAGGTCCCCATGGCAAGGAAGTGAGGCATCCTGCCAACATGAGAGAGAGATGCCTTAGAAGAGGACCCTACAGTCCCAGACAAGTCTTCAGGTGACTGCAGTCCTGGTCAACATCTTGACTACAATCTCATGAGAGATCTTGAGTCAGAACCATCAAGCTAAGCAACTCCTAGATCTCTGACTCACTGAAATCATGTTGTTTTAAGCCACTAAGTTTTGGGGTAATTTGTGACACGGCAATAGGTAACTAATATCCCTTCCTTGACCCTCTCTTTAGTGTTGGGCTCTCTCTCTTAATGCAGGACATCTGAAGAAATGTCTTCCCAGCAACCCTTCCTCTTCTAAGAGTTTGGTTTCACCCCCATCCACATGTTCACTACAGTAGCTGTCATGTTAGTCAATCATGATCCCATTCCCTGGCCTTCACTGAATGATCTGAAAGTGGGCATGTGACCAAAGCCAGGTCAATAAGGTCCTTCCCTGAAATTTTTATTCCTGAAATTGTGAAAAAGGCAGTATCTCTCCAATACCGACGGCTGTAAGATGTAAAACTTGGGGTCTGTCAGCAACAATGATCTTTCTTTTTTTTTTTTAATTTTTTTTATAACGTTTATTTATTTTTGAGACAGAGAGAGACAGAGCATGAACGGGGGAGGGGCAGAGAGAGAGGGAGACACAGAATCGGAAACAGGCTCCAGGCTCTGAGCCATCAGCCCAGAGCCCGACGCGGGGCTCGAACTCAGGGACCGCGAGATCGTGACCTGAGCTGAAGTTGGACGCTTAACCGACTGCACCACCCAGGCGCCCCAACAATGATCTTTCCTGTGTGGGAAAAGGTAGACAGCAATGGATAAGAAGGAAGCCTTCACATAAAAACAAGCAAAGATTTGGGGTGCCTGGATGGCTCAGTCGGTTAAGTGTCCAACCTCAGCTCTGGTCATGGTCTCACAGTTTGTGAGTTTAAGCCCTGCATCTAGCTGTGTACTGACAACTCAGAGCCTGGAGCCTGTTTCAGATTCTGTGTCTCCCTCTCTCTCTGCCCCCTCCCCCATTCATGCTGGCTCTCTCTCTCTCTCTCTCTCTCTTTCTCAAAAATATATAAACATTTAAAAAAAGCTTTTTTTTCTAAGAAACAAGCAAATATTCAAGATGGAGGGAGTACAAACAACATATGTCTCTGGCTCAAGGGATTTTTGACGCAACTCTGCCCTTCCAATGGCAAGACCATATCTATCTTGTAACCAGCACTCAGGACGTAAGAGGTAATGAAATGTTTATTGAATAAATGAGTGAGTAAAGTAATCCAATATCCTTCCAATAATCCCTCCCTCTTTTTTTGTTGTTGTTGCTGTTCAACAGAGAGATTTGATTATTTGAAGCCTAAAGGTCCTAACCTTTTCTTTGCTGCTTTTATACTCTGTATATCCCTCTGTTGTTGTGATTATGACAATATATCCTAATTACTGGTCCACATGGTCTCCTCCCCTATTAGAGCGCAAAACATTTGCTTATCATTTTTGGTATCACCAGTGCCATTTAGCCTAGAAAACAGAAAGTGACAAGAAATGCTTAACTGATTCAAGCAATCATTTACTCCATTCTTCAGTGTTTATAATTAATGCCATCAATTTATCAACCACTTAACATTTACAAGATACTGGGAAATACAATCAACTATTGGTTGTTGCTTGGTCCTGGATTCTCATCTACTCAACGAATTCATTCAACAAATATTTGAATCCATACCATACACCAGGGGCTGAAAATGGACAAACGACACGGTGTCTGCCCTCAAGAACCCTACAGTCTAGCACAGACAAGTAAATCCATTATTACAGCGCTGTGTGTTAAATGTTACTGATGTGATACACGCAGGCTGCTAAGCAGTAGCAGGGATCATGGGGAGTTTCCACGCTACTTCAGAAGGCAAAATATACCCAGAAAAAGAGGAGAGCCAGCAATGTGACATAGGCTAAGCACCAAATAAGTGATTTATTTTCTTGGTTACATGGGACTAATTTGCACACTTTAAGAAAAGATATTATGATTAAATGATTTTCAGATTTACACGCAACCAACATCTTCGGAGTGTCTCACATGTGCCAAGCAAACTGCTTAGCACTTTTTCAGCAGGGTCTCATTCAATTCTCCCATTTCGTAGATGAGAGAAGTGAGTTCGAAAGAGTTGAAGTGACTTGCCCAAGCAAGTAAGATTTCCCATTTCGTAGATGAGAGAAGTGAGTTCGAAAGAGTTGAAGTGACTTGCCCAAGCAAGTAAGCGGCAGAGATAGGATTCAGAATTAAGTCTTCCGATCCCATGTCTACGTATACCAGGCCACTCAATCTACACAACTGGAACACCTCCCATGTCTACACAAGTGGAATGCTTTCCATGTGACTGTCATTGCCTTTTCATTCATTCTACAGCATACAACATGGTGTTGGACACAAATGGACCGTCACCAGCTGCTGACTTGATACGGCTATAATGCTTGTCCACGTTGTGAGAAGCAAAGGACCACATCAGATCAAATTACTTTGATGCCTATTATAGCATCATGTGCTGACAAGGATGCAGTTGGCTATAGATGAGCAAATCTTCAAAGTTATATTTTAACACTATTTTTGACCACTATATCCGGTCAGTTGTTCCAGTGTTCAGCAGTAAATCAAAATGACTGTTCATTTCCTTTGACAGTTAACAGTACTAATGAATTCAGGATAATCTCACCATCTAGCAGAACAATTTCTAAAATGCAAACTTGAAGGTGATGATTCACGGGGTTAGCAGAGAAGGAGAAGTAAAGCAGCACTCACTGTTTTCTATAAAACTAGCATTGTTTCCAAAACCCAGAAACTGAGCAGTTGGTCTACTGCTAATAACAAATAGGTTGCTCTCTGGTCACTTAGCAAAAAGCTGCTTGTTGCACCATGGCAAACAGCTGAGGAGTGTATGTAGCTCTTGTGATACAGCACAATTCTACATATATAAATCAGTGAATTGTTACATAAGATTTAAAAAAAAAAAGAAAGAAGGAAAGAAATTCAAAATCTCCACACCAGAAAGCACCTGATACTGAGCCTGCTGGCACAAATCAGATTTTAATACTGAATAAATGTTTACTCAAAAAAAAAAAACTGACTTCATGGCTCTTTCAAAACATAAGTTGTCTATTAAATTGAGAGAGAAAAAACAAACCAACCAAACCCACACAGGTTATGTTAGGAATTCAAAAAGATTTGGGGTAACTAGCTCAGGATACATAAGAAATTCACAATGACCAAAAAAAAAAAAAGTTCAAAAATGTTGAAATAAGTAAACATGCATTTGACATCCCTCTTCAATTAAGTCACCACACTGGCACGCAGTGGAATGCTAACCAGCAATCTCCTTAGAAATAACAAAAACTAAAAGAACAGGTGACAGATGTTAGCTTTACAGTCGTTCAAAATGGTAACGAGGTGTACCAGGTATGCACCTGATATCTGCTGTATAAGCTCTGTATCTACATCTTTATATGCCAAAGAAACTGAATCATAAACCTTAATAAATGCTCACGAGAACATTTAATAGTAATAACGAGCTCGTTAAATGTATTAAAATGTATTGTCCAGAAATGAAAAAGTATCTCTAATACGAGACCGGGCTCCACAAATCTAAACCCAAACTGTCGTGATTAGTCAAAATAACCATTTTCCAAAATGAGCCACTCGGACCCACACAACGAATAAAGTAATCTCACAAGTATGAAGCTTGGGACAACTCAAGTGATCTCAAATGTTAGAACATTACAACGTGAGCGCTTAACCAGGCTGGTTAGTCGCTTCTACTTAGAACTTTAAATTTACAGAACCTTCTTCGCAAGCGACCTTTGAAAGACTTCAAGGCCAAGTATAGTATTTTATGATAATTGCAAATAAAAGCACTCAGATCCTGAAAGCCCGCGATCCCTATCTACCTCACAAGACACTGGACTCGTGAAACACCCCGGGGAACAGCCACCCTTTACTCTGTACAGGACCCCGGGGCTTAGGGGATGGTTCCACAAACCCCCACCGGGACCACCGTTAGGGAAGGACAGGAGGGGAGGAGAAGCGACTCAGGCTCCCAAACACACCGTCGTTCACCCCACACTCAGGAAGGCGCACCTTTCGCCCCGGACAGGATGCAGTGACAGATCTGTCACCTGTGAGGGAAGGGGGCGCGAAGACATCCTCAGAGATGAGTGCCAACAGGCAGCAGTCCGCCGCTCCGCCGGCCCCAATGCCCCGCGCCCGCCGCTCATTCCCGGGCTCGGGAAAACTTTCGGCCCGCGCCCCCCTCAGGGTCGCCCCCACCTTCAGGGACCCCGGGCTCCCGCCCCGCCCGCGAGGCCCCGCCCCGGGCCCGCCCCCCACGCCCACTGCCCGGCCCCGCGCCCCCGGCCCGTGCGGGCACCCGCGTGCCCTCAGGGCGCGCCCCCGCGCCGGGCCCGGCCGCCAGAGGGCGGGGTCGCTCACCCGTCCGCAGCTCGTGCTTGACAGTGAGGAGCTGCTCTCCCCCGGCGCCGCCGTCCCCGCTGGTCCCCGCGGCGCCGCCGCCGCTGCCGCCCTCCTCCATCTTCTCCCTTTTCCGATCCCGCGGGGTCCTACGCGGGAACCCGGGAGACAACGGACGCCCGGCCCCTCACGGCTCGCGCTGCAGCTCCGGGAGCCGGGATGCGGCGGCTCCAGAACTCGGACGCAGCGACGAGTCTCTTTCCCGCTCTGGCCGCACGGCTCGCTCCTCCGCCTCCTCCCCCTTCGGCGGGCACCGCTAGTACCGCGCAACCAAACCGCCCCCTGCACCGCCGCCTCCTCCTCCTGGCCGCTCCGCCCACAGTCAGCAAGGTAGAGAAGCCATTCTAGCCGCCATCGCTTATTGGGCACAGGGCGCGCGCATCTGTGAACGCCGGCTCCCATTGGGCAATCCTCTCTGATGCTTCGGGGGCCGCCCCGCCCAGCTCCTCGAATTGTTGTTGCTTGGCGGGGAGGCAGGAGAGGGAGAAACGCGACCACTCTGATTGGTGAGACCTGAGATCCTGCCCCGCCCATTTCCGCTGTTGCGCACGCGCAGTCAGGACCTTCCCTTCCCTCACCTCCCCAGAACTGTCACACCCCTTATTCCCCAGCTTCGATCTGTTAGTAAACAGTGTCTAGTAGTCAGGAGGCGCTTGGAGTCTGTGATTGGCTATTGCTGAAAGAGGCGGGGAGGGCTGATTGGAACATTTGGTCCGCCAATCACAATGGACAGAGGAGGGGCCTAGAGGGAAGAGCTTCTCTCACACGTGTTTGCGGATACACCTGAGGGGTCCAGCAGCGATCCACGGACGTGTGCCCAGCTGAAAGACAGCGTGTCTTAAAAAAGATGTTATTGGGGCGCCTGGGTGGCGCAGTCGGTTAAGCGTCCGACTTCAGCCAGGTCACGATCTCGCGCTCCGTGAGTTCGAGCCCCGCGTCAGGCTCTGGGCTGATGGCTCAGAGCCTGGAGCCTGTTTCCGATTCTGTGTCTCCCTCTCTCTCTGCCCCTCCCCCGTTCATGCTCTGTCTCTCTCTGTCCCAAAAATAAATAAACGTTGAAAAAAAAATTAAAAAAAAAAAAAAGATGTTACTTGCCTTAGTGTGCCCTGTACAAGTTAAGTGGAATTTGTGCGTAAATGCAGGTAGTTATTAGACATTGCAAAAATTAACAATCCCAGCTCTCTCGGTGAGGACTTTTGCAAAGGATAGACATTCCCATTTTGTACAAGATACTCCAAATCCTCAAAAGGATACAGAGATTAATAAAACAGAATACAATACCTTCCCCTAAGCAGCTTTCAATAGAGCGTGAGAAACAATCCGTATATACACAGGAAATATAAAGCAGAGTGAAACAAAAGTGGTACAAACTGTTAGAGAATTGCACAGATGGCAATAATTATTCTCAGTAGGGGAGCAGGGAAAGCTCTTAGGGCAAGAAGGAATTTGAGATAACCAACTTAAAGGATGGGTTAGATAGAAATACCAGCAGCAGACATTTCATGCAGAAATGAGCTGTGACGTTCAGCCTGGAAGTAGAGAAGGCAAGGGTGGGTTAAGTGATTGATAAGACTGGGTGGAAGTATGACCTAAGAGAAACAGCTAAAAAAGGTAAGGTGCTTAAAGACAATGGAGAACCTTGACTACCATCCTAAGCAGTGCGGATTTTGTACTGCACTGTAGTCCAGGCTGGGGAGTCTCAAAGAGTAGTTATAATACCAAAGCTGTTCTCTTGGAAGTTAGCTTCAGTTACAGTGAGAAGGATGGACTGGAGAAAAAGAAAAATAACAGGGCAAGAATACTGTGGCAAAGATAGAACCGTTAACCTAAAAAAAAAATAAAATAAAATAGCCATTTATTTTACCAGCAAAATGGGTTTATTTAGGAATATCAGAGAATTGCAACTTGGGAGGTGCAAGCTATGGAAAAATCATAGACAAGTCCAATAAACAAAGGAGAGGAGTTTTTTTAGTGGAAAAGGAGGAAGTTGGCAGGGGTTGTTTTGAAGGAAAGTCCATTGGAGAAAAGCAAGAGTTCAGGGTAATGATGGGTTCTCATTGGCTGAGTTGTAGAGACAGTCAATTTCTTATCAGAGATACAATGTACATCTTTTCCTAGCGGATCCTGTAATTGACCATTATTTCCTCTTGACTATTCACTTATTGGAGTCTGTAATTGCCAATTTCTTCCTGTATTTGCTGTGGAGTGGTAGGCTCCCCTTTAGTGAGGTGTCCCTTTTTTGATTTTCACAGAATTTATGGGGCCTAATTTCTGGCAGTGGACCTGAGAATAGGAAAAGGGGAGGATTAAAGATGGCCTCTTGGATGTAACTCACATAGAAGTGACTTTTTAAACGCAGCATGGATTAGATCTGAGGTTAGCAAACCTTTTCTGTAAAGGGCCAAGTGGTCTCTTTCACAACTACTCAACTTTGCTATTGCAGTGTGAAAGCAGCCATAGACAATAAGTAACCTAATGGATATGGCCATGTTCCAAGAAAGCTGTATTTAAGGACGTTGCAATTAAATTTCACATAATTTTCATGTGACACAATATACTCTTCTTCTTTTAATTCTTTTCAACAATTTCAAATGTAAAAACCATTCTTAGCTCTTGGGCTGTAAAAAGCAGTCAGTAAACTAGATTTGGCCTGCGGGCCATAGTTTGCAGACTCCTGGATTAGACTGTCAGGGAAGAGAAAGCAGAGAAGCTTTTGACAGCCCATTCAGGTTGCCTCAGCAACCTGGGCTTACCTGCCTGGAACATTTATCCCACTAAACCATGACTGCCTACTTACTTGCCTTTCTCCTCCACAAGTAGTGTGCTAGCTGGAGCCAGGGAATGACTGTGTGTAATTGTTCATTTGTTCACTCAACAACTTTTACGCCAATTATATAGCAAGTAGTGTGATAGATGCTGGAAACAGTGGAAGCAAAACAGATGTAATCCTTCTTGCTCTCATAGAGCCTGCAGTTTAGAAAAGGAAATAAATATTAAATAATCACATAACAAAAGGCAAAATTTCCATTGTGATCATGCTATAAAGGAAAATTATAGGCTGTTACAATAAAATATATCAACCTAATTTAGGCTGGAGGAGCTCGAAGGCCTTAATAAGGAAGTATTATTTTAGCTGATTCTTTAAAGATGAGTAGCTTTTAACCAGGATGTGGCAGAAACTGGCCTGGTGCTCACCAATCTCATTTCCTCTTCCTGGACACACAGGAAAACTACTTTTTTTCCCCTTTGTAGTTAGACTCAGGTCATGTGACTGTGATCTGGCCAACGGGGTGTGGGCAAACATGATGTGTGCCATTTCCAGGCCTGGCCAGAGACCCCCTACATAATCACCTACACTTTCTTCTCTTTCCACAGCAACTACAAAGGCTAACTTTCGAATATGGGGTGCCACAATTTATAAGAACCCTGAACCCTTGAGTCTCCACTTGAAGAAGAGCCTCCCTGACCTACATACAAAGTGATGTAAGCAATAAATAAATCTTAGGCGTAAGCTACCAAGATCTTGGGGTTGTTTGCTACCAAAGCAAAATCTAGTCTACCCTATTTCACAAGTGAATTGTTGGCGGGGTGGGAAGAAATTTTAGGAAGATACAGATGCCAAGTCCTGAGGCAGGTGAAGAGTCTATGTATGTTAGGGATTGAGAGAAAGCTGGTGGGGCCCGAACACAGTGAGCAAGAGATTAGTTAACAGAGGGAGACGGAGACCCAATCACGAAGTATGTGGTAAGCCTTATTAATATTTTTGGAGTTTTTCCTGTGTGAAGTTCAAAGCAATGGAAGGAATATAAACAGGAGAACGATATAATGGAATATTATTTCCAAAAGGTCACTGTGGTTAGTGTTCGTAGCCTGGGCTGAAGGAAGCAAAAGAGGATACAGAAAGACCAGTTGGGAAGTTATCACTACCGTATAAGCAGAAGATGACAGTGGGTGCAGGAGATATAGTAAGAAATGGAATGTTTCTGGATATGTATTTTGGATTTCATAAAGGATTGGACTTGTTGGGTGAGGGAAATGGGGTACCTGAAATGACACCAAAGTTTTTAACATGAGCAACTAGGTGGATGGGAGGGGATGATGGTATCATTTAATGAGAGGGGTGAGTTAAAGGAAGAACACATACCAGAGTGAAGATCAAAAGTTTTATTTTGAGACATCCAAGTCCAATATTAGGTAGCTATGTGGATATATGAGCCTGGAGCTCTGCAGAGAGTTCTAGGATAGAGATATAAATTTGGGAATCACTGGCAGATAGATGGTATTTGAGGTCAGAGGTACGAATAAGATCACCTGGGGCAAAAATGTGCAGAAGGAAGAAAAGATGAGCCCAGGACTGATGTCTAAGGAATTTCAACATTGAGATGTTGGAATGAGAAGGTAGAGCTGGAGGTGTAGAAGGAAAACCCATAGCTTCTTGGAAGCCAAAGTGTTTCGAGAAGGAGGGAACGGTCAGCTGAGTCACATGCCCTAAGAGGTCATATAAGATGAGGTCTGGAAAGATCCCATGAATTTGTCAACTTGGGTGCCATTGGTGACAATATCCAGAGTGGTTTTGGTAGAGCAAATGGGAGGTGAAGGGGTAGAAACAGCATGTGTGGACATATTTTTCAAGGAGTTTGACCCTGAAGGAAAATAGAGAAGAGAAAGCCCTAGCTGGAGGGACCCAGGGAGGTTTTCTTGTTTTGTTTTTTACTTTTTATTTTCAAAAAATTCTTAAATTGCAAAAGAGTTGCAAAAACAGTGCAGAGTTTCCACATACCCTTCACTCAGCTTCCTCTAATGTTAATATGTTACATACCATAGTTCAATCATTAACACTGAGAAATTAACATTGGTACAACATTACTAAATTACAGACTCTACAGATTTCACCACTTTTTCCATAAAAATGATTTAATTTTTTTTAATGGTTAAAAAAGAAGAGTATACCATGACACATAAAAATTATGTGAAATATAAATTTCAATGTCCATAAATAAAGTTTTATTGGAACACAACCATGTCCTTTCTCTGTGCCAGTATCCAATTCAG